GGCATCCAAAATGTGGCCCGGGAATGGAGTTCTGGGAAGTCGAAGAGCACGAAGTGGCGTACAGTTGGCTCCGGGCATTCAGAATGTGGCCCGGGAATGGGGTTCTGGGAAATCGAAGAGGCCCGGGAGTGGAGTTTGCTTAAAACGAGCTCTTGCGGCACCCTGTACGGCACCGCCCAGTACACCCTGTGGAGTCATCTGAGAGCTCTTTTGAGGCAAATTATCCCGGCAAAGCAACCTAACAGCGATGTGTAGAAGCATAGCTGGAGGCATGCAGCAGCAGTAACAGTCACAGTAATAGTAGCAATAAGAAAGCAACGCACGGAATTTGAATGGATGTGTGTCCAAACGAGAGACTGCTATCAACGCACGGAATTTGAATGGATGTGTGTCCAAACAAGACACTGCTATCAACGCACGGAGCTTGAATGGATGTATGTCCAAACGGGACACTGCTATCAACGCAAGGAATTTGAATGGATATATGTCCAAACGAGACACTGCTATCAACGCCCGCAGCGCACCCCCTTGTGTTATGTGCGTGTGTGTATGGGTGTGCTGTGTATGCTGTGTGGTGTGCCATGTTCTTTTGTGATGTGCTGCGGCACTGTGTGTGCGTGCTATGTGCTGCGGCACTGTGTGTGTGTGTGTGCTGTGTGCTGTGCGTGCTCTGTGCTATACTGTTCATGTCCGCGTTGATGATCGAAGGGAACAGTGGACGTGGGTGAAGACGAGGATCTGGTATCAATGTATGATTTTTCTGGCAGGGAGTCACGGCCCAGAAGAGTCGAAGTGTCTGCACCGAAGACAGCGCTGCCCCATCAGCACCGACGTGTCTAGAAAAGCTCGAAGTGTATGCGAAGAAAACAGTGCTGCCCCATCAGCACAGACGCGTCTAGAAAAGCAACCGCGGGCTGAGAAGCACCGCGGGCTGAGAGGCACCGCGGGCTGAGAAGTACCGCGGGCAAAAGTGGGCAAACGCTTCAGCGGCTCGCCGCCTGCCGCGACAGCATCTTGGGCACCCACTCCTGCACCCGCTGCAACACGTTATTCTTGTGCTCATTCCAGAAGCACAACATTGCGGATATCGTGCAGACAGGAACCGACTTGCCATTACCGCCGGAGCCCAGTGTCAAAGAGATCGCTTTCAAAGCCTGCTGTTCGCGAAGTTTCGTGGTCATGCCGGGCATGATCTTTCGCGAAGCAAGGCGCGATCCGCGTGGAACCGGCCACCGACCAGACAAAGCCAAGAGGTCACCAGGCAGCAAACGCGGCACTGTCAGTTTGGAACTGAGCCCAGCCAGCATGGTGATTTCCAGGATTCGTTTGCACTTGTATGCCCCGCATCCATCGACCTTGAATTCGCGCTTGCTTGCCATTTGGAAAACTACTTGAGCAAGGCTGAGCAGCACCTGTCGCCGCTGGGCCGTCTGCAGGGAGGGCGTGCATGAGGAGAGCAGTTGCGCCATCTTGTTGCCGACGACGCGCGTGAACTCAACAAGCTGCGCTGCAATGTTGCCGCGACAGATCTTCCCCGGGTGCTGGCCGCCACGGTGCGCGACCTCCGCAGTGTCGAGGTAATGCCTGGAACCTGTCAAGTCGTTTTGAGCTAGGTATGGCGCTGCAGCATCCACGGTCGCTGCCAAGCCCGTCACGGCAGCAATGTAGATCAGACGCACGAGGTGGCGGGAACGAACCAAAACACTCGTGCTGCGCGAAGTCCGCAGGCTGAGAAGCACCGCAGCACCTTTCTCCAGGGATTCCTGCAGTTTGCGTTGATCCTCGGGGTCAAATGGTTGGTGCACAGGGTTTCTGGCGATCGGATACCTGAAACGAATTCTGACAAGAGCTCTAAATTCACATTGCCATGCAGAGATGCGATGCCTGAACATATACAATCCCGAGCCTGCTTAGCTGCACATGCCCCACATGCGAAATGCAGTTCTGCACTCGAAGATGAGGAGCACTGCAAATGCGACAGCGAACAAGGGCATCATTGTACAAGAAGCGCTCATATCTGCTTGTTGGGGGTCTTGCACCAACTAACAGTGAAGATATGACATTCATCTGAAGCGTAACTTTGCCACCACGTCTGAACCCGGAGCGCCTTGCCGTTCTCCTCGCAGCACGGCGGCGACCTGAAGTTCGCTGGCCGAAATGGAGCTGAGGCGCGTTAATCCACGATGGTTTTCCCTCTGGGCGCGGCCCCGAGGCCCGCCAGGGAGCCCCGAGAAAGGCGAAGAGATTTCCCAGAGGCTCAGGAGGACCGAAGAGGTTTCCCCAGAAAGGCCCTCAGAGGCCCGTCAGAACCCCTCAGGAGGCTCCGAAAGAGCTCCTCGGAACCCCGAAGCGGCCCGACGAGGCCGTTCAGACGCCCGCGCCCGAGCATGGAAGCAAGCGCCAGCGATGCTACAACATGGGCCGGCGGAGTGAGCGAAGCGAATGAATAGTTGCACTCCTCGGAGTGGCCAAATCTTTCTTCTCCATGCCAGGGACCAGCGCGGGTCGATACCTTTTGGTCACAGTTTTTTTTTTTTTTTGAAGACCAATTTCTTGACCATCGCTAGTTGGCTGAAAGAACCGTAAATGACTAGGCAGGCTGAGAAGCACCGCGGGGCGTGGTGAAGCAGCGCATTCAATATACAGAACAGAAAAGTGGGTTGAGCATACAGAGGCACGGACAACGAAATGGATGATGAATGGATGATTATGAAGGGGCCTGGACAATGACGGCGTGCCAGACCACGTCCAAGCCTGTCTGCAACCAGTGGACGGTGCGGACAAAGCCCCGGTACGTCTGTTGGGGCCAGCATCCAGAGCGCCGGAAGTGGGCAGAGACGACGAGGCGGGAGACGAGTCTGACGAGGAGAAAGAGACAGACAAAGACGGAGAAGCAGCAGAAGAGCCTGACATGGCCTACCTGCATGAGAATGTGGCAGAGTTCACAGTTGCAGTGGATCCAGTGCATGACATCGCTCCAGTCCGAATGATGCAAGCGCTGCAAGGCACGCTGGTGGCGCTGCAGGAGCAGGCAGCACGCTATGTAGCGATGTGTAGAAGCATATATGGAAACATTCCCCTTAAGATCCAGATGAGAATCCAGTTGTAGAATTCTCCTGTTCTCGCAGTCGCAGTCGCATTCGCGATGACAGTCGCAGTGGCAACGGCAGTCACAGTCACAGCCTCAGCTTCAGCCTGCCTCAGTATCAGCCTGCCTCAGCCTCAGCCTCAGCCTGCCTCAGCCTCAGCCTCAGCTTGCTTCAGCCTCAGCCTCAGCCACAGCCTGCCTTCAGCCTCGGCCTCAGCCTCAGCCTGCCTCAGCCTCAGCCTGCATCAGCCTCAGCCTCAGCCTCAGCCTCAGCCTCAGACTGCCTCCGCATCAGCCTGCCTCAGCCTCAGCCTCAGCCTGCCTCAGCCTCAGCCTCAGCCTGCCTCAGCCTCAGCCTGCCTCAGCCTCAGCCTCAGCCTGCTTCAGCCTCAGCCTCAGTCTGCCTTCAGCCTCGGCCTCAGCCTCAGCCGGCCTCAGCCTCAGCCTGCATCAGCCTCAGCCTCAGCCTCAGCCTGCCTCAGCATCAGCCTGCCTCAGCCTCAGCCTCAGCCTCAGCCTGCCCCAGCCTCAGCCTGCCTCAGCCTCAGCCTGCCTAAGCGTCCATGCCTCAGCCGCCGCCGCCTCAGCCTCAGCCTGCCTCAGCCTCAGCCCAGCCTCAGCCTCAGCCTGCTTCAGCATCAACCTGCCTCAGCCTCAGCCTCAGCCTGCCTCAGCCTCAGCCTCAGCCTGCTTCAGCCTCAGCCTCAGTCTGCCTTCAGCCTCGGCCTCAGCCTCAGCCTGCCTCAGCCTCAGCCTGCCTCAGCCTCAGCCTCAGCCTGCTTCAGCCTCAGCCTCAGTCTGCCTTCAGCCTCGGCCTCAGCCTTAGCCTGCCTCAGCCTCAGCCTGCATCAGCCTCAGCCTCAGCCTCAGCCTGCCTCAGCATCAGCTGCCTAGCCTCAGCCTCAGCCTGCCTCAGCCTCAGCCTCAGCCTGCTTCAGCTTCAGCCTCAACCTTAGCCTCAGCCTCACCTTTTCCTCAGCCTCAGCCTCAGCCTGCATCAGCCTCAGCCTCAGCCTCAGCCTGCCTCAGCATCAGCCTGCCTCAGCGTCTGCCTCAGCCTGCCTCAGCCTCAGCCTCAGCCTCAGCCTCAGCCTTCAGCCTCGGCCTCAGCCTCAGCCTGCCTCAGCCTCAGCCTGCCTCGGCCGCAGCCTCAGCCTGCCTCAGCAGCAGCCTGCCTCAGCCTCAAATGTGGCCCGGGAATGGAGTTCTGGGAACTCGAAGACACGAAGTGGCCTACAGTTGGCCCCGGGCATTCAAAATGTGGCCCGGGAATGGAGTTCTGGGAACTCGAAGAGCACGAAGTGGCCTACAGTTGGCTCCGGGCATTCAAAATGTGGCCCGGGAATGGAGTTCTGGGACTCGAAGACCACGAAGTGGCCTACAGTTGGCTCCGGGCATTCAAAATGTGGCCCGGGAATGGAGTTCTGGGAAGTCGAAGAGCACGAAGTGGCCTACAGTTGGCTCCGGGCATTCAGAATGTGGCCCGGGAATGGAGTTCTGGGAAGTCGAAGAGCACGAAGTGTGTGACTGTTGGCTTAAAATGAGTTCTGCGGCACCCTGTCCGGCACCCGCCCAGACCCCCCTGTGGAGTCATCTGCTGCTTTGTTTTGAGTCTTGTAGAAACCTATCAGTCTTCGCTGTTAGGTAACTAGAAACCTATCAGTCTTCGCTGTTAGGTAAAAAACAGTACGCGGAGGGTGCGCGGCCATCACCCGGACGCCATCAGGGGAAGAGGGAGAGTATTTTCATATTGAGTAATTGTGGAGGGAGGAGGGAGGAGGGAGGGAGGAGGGAGGAGGGAGGAGGGAGGAGGGAGGAGGGAGGAGCGTACCAATCCGGAGCATCTCTGGCGCGATCGGTTCCTCGCGCCTGGCGCCAGTGGCCAGCACGCTCTCCCCGCGCGCGCGCGCAGGTCTCGCCCCAGTACGCCTTCGGCGTCCGGGTGGAGTGTCCCACGGACGCGTGCGTGGCCGGGGGGGCGAGCCGGATGAAGCTGGTGGTTCAGAAGGCTGGGCCTGCCACTGGCAGCTCGGCACGAACGAAGTGGGTACGGAGAGAATGGGGGCACAGACCGAAAGCAGTTCTTGTTCGTTTGGAACATGACTCTGTGTCGGCGTCGCCGCGGACGTTGTCAATTTGAGACCCGAAAGCGCCTGCCCAACAGCTGCCGCTGTCTGTTTTGGACGAGATTTCCTGTTTGGCATCGTACCCATTGCTGTTTCCGTACCCATTTCGGGCGTGCCAACTTTTCTATGCGGTCAAAGTGCGATTCGTTGTCGTTTTCTGGAGTCTGCGGAGACATCCCGAAGGGTGAGAAGAGCTGAAAGCTAGAGCGGGTATACTTTGTTCAGCCCCTACGAGAAGTCAAAGCTCTGAAAGCTTCTGAACAGGTGCGTTCAGCTTACATTCTCGCTTGTTGCCAGGGGGATTCCAGGGACTTTCTTTTACATCCGCCAGGGGAGTGCCAGGAAATTCTAGTCGCCACGAATCAGGAATTCCGGGAACGCCAGGAATTCAGAATGGAAAGCCACGGTCAGGAACCTTGGCTCAACGTCTCCGCTGGCTCTGGCACACCGCGCTTCGGCCGCACATGCTGTCAAGGTCGCGGTCCCGAGGCGTCAACGTCCCGAGTTTTTCCCAGTCTCCCGCACCCGCGGTGCGGAGCGGCACGCTGTCCGCTCGCAAGGGATAGCTTGTCGCTGGGACCGCCACCGCGAGACGCCAAGCAAGAGTTCCAGACCGTATACTTTTCGATTGTCGATTCCATTCGTTCGGATGCAACTCCTGGGAGGTCAAGTTCTGATTTTGTCTTGGTCCGAAGTCAGGCTTAATCCGGCTTACTCCCGCTTAATCCGGCTAAATCCAGTTTAATCCCGCTTAATCCCGCTTGATCCTGCCTAGTCCGAGGCCCACTCCGGCGTAACAGCTCCCAAATGGGGCTTAATCCTCTTTAATCTTTCCGACGAAAACCTCCCAGTAGCTGCTTCCTAGCATTCGCCTGGGGAGCGCCAGGAATCGTAGTTGGCGCCCTCGCTGCGGCGGCCCGCAGGAGCGCAGCAGTTCGAAACGCCAGACTCACATACAACAGGTCAGCCTGTGAGTTTTCGAGCGCCTCGACCTTTCAGTTCGAGGTCTTTTGAATACTGGCGGTAACGGGCGTGACTGGGGAGGGGGAGGAGGGGGGGAGGGGGCCGGTCATGTCATGATTCGCGTGGGCGCTGTCTGGGACTGCTTACTTAGGAACGGCTGGTTCCCAACGGCACCGGCGCGAATCGTGATGTGACCATGGGGGGGAGGAGGGGGGAGGGCGGGGAGGGCGAGGCCGGTCACGGGCGTCATCTTGAATAATACGGCAGCGGGCTCTTTTCGTGCTTCCCAAGCTCCCGGCTGATTCTTCGATTGCCCGTTAGCGCGCACGATTTTCGATTTTTCGGATGTTCAGACTGACCTGACTTTCTCGCTCTTACGCTTTTCGAATGCGGGCCCGCTCTTTTTGTTTCTGAGGCAACGTTCGGGGGGGATAACTGATAGGCTCAGGGGGGGATGCATCGACCTCCAATCGACCATCCCTCGCCGATAGGGGCCCGATATCCCAACCCGCCCAAGACCGTGTGGATTCGCTATCGGGGGGGGGGGCCATCGCCGTTCCAACGGCGATGCATCGCCAAATCCAGGTCAACCTTTTTTTCCCTGAGCTGTCCCCCTCCTGTCGTTGCCCCTTATTCTTACGTCGGGCCTGTCCCTCTACAGGAGGAATATTCCCAAATAGTCAAAAAATAGTATGGGGACGATTTTGGATTATTTTTTGATCATTTTGGAGTACGTTTGGGGTATTTGTTATTTTTCGTCCAAACACCCCCTGTAGGGGGACATGCCCGACCTAACCTTATTCTTCGTCCCCTTTGTCAGTGCAGCATCGGCCTCCACCCCTCTCGACTGGGGCTGCGGAGCTGCTTCACAGTCGCTTCCCACTTGGCTTGTGACGCGCACGGCACGTGCGCGAGCTAACTCCGCGCTGATTTCTCTGTGAAGCAAATCTTCGTTCCCTTTTGGGAGTCCCTGGCGCTGCCGCGCTCTTTTTGGGTCACGCCGCGGGTTGAAAAGGCCCGTCGCGGGCCGTCCCTCTTCCACCGGGCGCGGGCTCGTGCCGACCTCTCGGGCAGAGCATCGGCGCACAGATACGGGACTACTGCTGCTGCTGCTGCTGCTGCTGCTGTTGCTCGTGCACCATGCCCCCCCCCAGGCTGAGGAGGACGAGGACGAGGACGAGGACGAGGACGAGGACGAGGACGAGGACGAGGACGAGGACGAGGACGAGGACGAGGACGAACACACACATAATATATATATATATATATATATATATGTATATATATATATATATATATATATATGTATGTGTACAAGACTGCATTGGCGCTTCGCGCCATGCACTTTGGTCCTTGAGGTTCGGCATGCAGGCAGGAAAGCAATCAGGTAAACCGGACCATTTAGCGATAACTCGTTGCTGCCTTTTCCGGCATCGTCGTTGTAATATTGTTTTTTGTTATCCTTCCCTCATGTTTCCTCTTCCTCTTCTTCATTCTCGCCCTACCCTGCGAGTTCGCCCCCATCCTCAGCTCTTTTTGCGGAGGCTCCTCCTAGGAGAGCCTCTTGTAAGCCTCACGAAGGTTTTTAACGGCTTGTTGCGGCCTTCTGGAAGCCTCCTGGGCTCCTTCTGGGGGCCTCTGGGGGCTTCCCCAGGCCGCCCTGCTTCCAACTGCGGTCTCCCTGAACGACCAGGGCACGATTTGGAATGATTCGAGAGGCGTCTTGGGGCCATCTTGGTTTGTCATGGGGCTCTCTTCGGGCCATTTTTGGGCCCTGTTGGGCTGTCTTGGGGCTCCTCTTGGACTGCCTGGAAGCCCTCTTGGTTCAGTTTGGGGTGATTTTCTGGTCTCCTGGGCGGTCTCCGCAAGACCGAAGAACTGAGCATAAATGCCTCTTGGAGATCTTCTTTCGGTTGTCCTCGGGCGTCTGGGGGGGTGTCTGGGGCCTCTGTGGGCTCTCGCGGGGCCGTCCGGCCGCCCTCCTCCTGACCGATTTGGGCCCATTGCCCAGGCCCAGCAGGGGCTTCAGGAGCCTCGGAAAGCCCAGGGGACCGTCTGAAAGGGCGTCCAGGGTGCCCCCGGGGCCAAGGATCCGGAGGGGCCCGTTTAGGGGGGGGGGGTCGCAGGGTCCCAGTTTGTAAAGATATAGAGAAGGGAGTCGGTGATGCTGCAGAAGAGGCTTCCATCTCTTCCTCGGCGGAAGGGCGGCGGAAGGTCGGCGGAAAATATGCGCCCCCAAGAGAGATGACAGCATTTTTGGTTCCAGGGTTTCCGGAACCCGCCATATATCTAGGTGTAGGTATATGTATACACACGCCCCAGGCTCGTTGCACAAGTGAGCGTGTCTGGCGGAGAAGTCAGACCTGAATGGGACACAGATCGCAGATCTAGAATCTCTAATCGATCACTGGTGCACGGTACGCCTCTTGCGAATCAGCGTGTGGCGAGGCGAGGCCTAAAGTTCGCTGTGCGCAGCGTTTTCTATCGCGCTCGAGCGGCACCATGCGGCCTAAACGGAGACTATCTACGAAGAGTTCGGGCTCTATCCAATCCTGCTCTGCGTCTGGTACGAAGTGTGGATGGGCGCCACCCCCGCCGACAGCCACAAATCGACCCCCGTCGCGGGCAAACATTGCCGCGCGACGTCGACCCCAGTCGGCCCACGCAACCTGCCGCAATAACCAGACCCTAGCCCACGGGCGCTGACAGGTTGACTCTGAACGGGGGGACCCACCACGCTTGTCATCAAGCGCGGAGTAACGATCTGGTCGCGTCCATCTCCACGAGGACGAGGAGGAACGCCGCAAGCCGAACCCGCGCGGGCCTGCGCTGCACGCCGCAAGCGGGGGCGCTCGCCCACCAGCTGCGGGTGCGCCGCGGGGGCTGCAGCGATGGGCGTCTGGGGTGCTGGACGGCCAGACGCGCGGGGCGGCAGCGCGGGCGTCTGGGGCGCTGGGCGGCCAGACGCTGCGGTGGCCTGCCGCGCAGCTCCCTAATTTTTTCAGAGGAGGCCGGGGTACTGATGCCGCTGCCCTGGCCTCGTCTTCGCCTTTCGGGCCTCCTGGGAGGCCCTCGTCACCACCGCCGCATTCGCCTCGTTTGGCGGCCAGACGCTGCGGTGGCGAGGGCGAGCGCACAACGAGCTCGGGCAGCCGGCGAGCCGCGCCGGGGCGAGGCACGCAGAGGCGAAGCGGGGAAGGGCCGAGGGAAGGACGACGCTGACCCTGACCAAGGTGTTGCGGGATCTTGTCGACGCCGATCTTGGGCATGGTCCATGCTGGCCGCCACCGATTCGCGAGGGTTGTCCACGAATCGACGGTGGCCAATGTGGACGGCGACTAAGATCGAGACCGAAGTTTTTGCGTTCAGTCTTGGTCAGGGTCATTGCTTGGCTCCCCTCCAGACGAGGGACCTGCGGAGAAGTCGTCATCGCATGCGCACTCCAGCCGCGCAGCGTGTGTCTTCGCCACGGCGTGGTGACGTTGGTTTGCGCGATCTGGCTGGCGACTTTTGGGGGTAAGGGAGTGGAGCAATAGCTGTAGGAGGGGAGGGGATTGTCCTCCGCCCCTCGCGTGCGAATAGACCTCTGATCTCTGCTGTGGAACTCCGTGCAGCCTGTGCGTGAACGACGCTCGCGCCGTCTTTCCGCTTGTCTTCTGGGTCGCCACTCGCCGTTTTTGTTGACACTGCTGCAGTCCGATTCGATGCAGAGACGACTCCGACCAAGTTAGGGGGGATGGGGTTGAGCACAGGCTTGCAAAGGACAACCGCTTGTTTTTGTTACCTTTCTGTGCATCTATTGCCGCCCACAGGGCCGACGTCCCGGGCGCTCCTCTCAGGGGGGGGGGGGGCTTGGCTCTGGAGCCGCTCTGGGCCGCCCTGTGGGAAGTGGACAGGTGGGGACGTGTCACGAGGAGGG